GATGTCTCTTAGTAGTTACGGATAATTTATCTTCAAAAAGAAAACAGAAAGAATATATACAATAGTGAAGTATGTTTAACAATATTCGGAAAAAGTGATAAATAAAACGGAGGTATTTTACACTCACATTTGGTAGAGCTACTGTGGGAGCTCTACCGTGATTGGCATGGACGGTACAATCCCCGTCTTAGGATAAGAGGTCCAACGTCTTAGGTACTCCAATGGTATGGTGGTACAGATAAAATGGAAAACAAGAAACTCCAATAGTGTAATAGTTCCAACTCCAAGTATAAATAGATAAATAAAAATATATATATACTCACATTTACTATAGCAGAAAACTTGCTCTAGTATATAGGGCTTGCAGTGGTATAATCCCCACTGTAGGATATACAGGCCAGGGAGTTTGATGGTGCAAATAAAATATAATGAAATGGAGTATAGCTTTAAAAAATATATATTTAATAGTGGTACAAATAGAATAAAATAAAAAGCTATATAAGATATCACTTAACGTGTTTCGCCAATGGCTTCATCAGAAGTGTAAAAAACATACATCAAAAAACTTCCTTTAAATACATAACTTACATAATAAACATGATTAATGATGTCTTCCTTGTGTGCCTCGGACAAACAGACCGCTCGTAGGCAGAGACCGGAAATAATGCGGCGACCACGTGGGTGTAGGTAACCAGCGTGGAACGCACGCGTCCAAACCGGAAGCGGCGTTCGCGTGTGTAGCCCTATCCACCGCAAAACGCACGCGTCGCGCCGGAAGTGGCGCGGCGTTCACGTGGGTGAGATACAGGCATGCGTTCCACCATGGAACGCATAGTTGCCGCGGCCGCAATAAGTGGCTCAAAAGGAGGCAAATACATAGATAATGTTAAAGTGCAGCATATGTGCAAATAACATGAAAACCAATCTTCACATAAATGAAGAAACAGATACATAAATAATGTTAAAGTGCAACATATGTGCAAATAGCAAGAAAGCCAATCTTCACATGAATAAAGAAACAAATACATACATAATATTAAAGTGCAACATATGTGCAAATAACAAGAAAGCTAGTCTTCACATGAAAAAAAAAAAAAGGAAAAATGTATATAGTTTTAAAGAATAAAAAGTTCTTAAAGTTCATGGCCAAATGATTCTGACATCCAACAATGCACAAAGAATGTTTCATCCGTATGTAGAAATAGCAGAACGTCTTTTCTTATTTGGTGAAAAAAATAAAAATTTGTGCAGTACATAACGTCCTTTTTCTTGAAGCAGTCTTAAACTTCCAATAGTCCATTGTGAATATGCTCGTGGTCCAGTTTATGAAGGGAGCATAAAATCAAAATATATAGCATAAAAAATGAATATATATATATAAGATCTCATAAAATAAATATAAATACAATAAAAATAGTAATAATAAAATAGTAGGGGAATAAGGTGAATAGAAAAAATATAGGATGATGTAAAATGAGATGGGAGAAGAAAAAACCCAGAGGAAAAAAAAATATAGAAGATAATTGGATAAAATATAAATGAATTGATAATAAAATTTAATAAAAAATTATAAAAAAATTGAATAAATCGAATTCTATGTTTAAGCCATCTGGGTGTAGGGTATTCATATTATAGACCCATTCCATCTCTGTCTGTCCTATTTTTTTAATAAAATCACCTCCTCTCCAGTGAGATTTAACAATGGCAATACCAATGAAGGTAAGATTTTTAGGGTCGTTATCATTTTTAGGGTCGTTTTGCGGTGGATAGGGCTACACACGCGAACGCCGCGCCGCTTCCGGTTTGGACGCGTGCGTTCCACGCTGGTTACTTACACCCACGTGGTCGCCGCATTATTTCCGGTCTCTGCCTACGAGCGGTCTGTTTGTCCGAGGCACACCAGGAAGACATCATTAATCATGTTTATTATGTAAGTTATGTATGTTTTTTACACTTCTGATGAAGCCATTGGCGAAACGCGTTAAGTGATATCTTATATAGCTTTTTATTTTATTCTATTTGTACCACTATTAAATATATATTTTTTAAAGCTATACTCCATTTCATTATATTTTATTTGCACCATCAAACTTCCTGGCCTGTATATCCTACAGTGGGGATTATACCACTGCAAGCCCTATATACTAGAGCAAGTTTTCTGCTCTAGTAAATGTGAGTATATATATTTTTATTTATCTATTTATACTTGGAGATGGAACTATTACACTATTGGAGTTTCTTGTTTTCCATTTTATCTGTACCACCATACCATTGGAGTACCTAAGACGTTGGACCTCTTATCCTAAGACGGGGATTGTACCGTCCATGCCAATCACGGTAGAGCTCCCACAGTAGCTCTACCAAATGTGAGTGTAAAATACCTCCGTTTTATTTATCACTTTTTCCGAATATTGTTAAACATACTACACTATTGTATATATTCTTTCTGTTTTCTTTTTGAGGATAAATTATCCGTAACTACTAAGAGACATCAAGTGTATGTATATATAACTCATGTAAGGCGCGGTTTCCTCCTTTTTTTCTCTTCTATTCTGTTTTTTAACAAGGCTGGGAATCCTTGTATTTGTTACTGCTGCCTATCCTATTGTTTAACTTTGGAGTGAGCACCCGACACACTTCTTCTTTTCCATTCCTTAGCAATAGCTGATGTAGTGTTTCATGGTGCATTGTCCTGCTAAAAGAGATCACTGCCATCAGCTGCCATGAAAGAGTGTACGAGGTCTGCAGCAATCCCTTGGTAGGTGTTACAAGTCAAAGTAACATCCACATGAATGCCAGGACCCAATATTTCCCAGCAGAACATTGTCCAGGGCATGATACTGCCTCTGCGGTCTGCCTTTTTCCCATTGTGCTGCCCCCTCTTCCCTAGATAAACCATGTGCTCACCTGGACATCTGCCTAATCTAAAAAAAAAAACTTTGGCAGAGGATAGAGGTCATCATGGGCACTCTGACCAGTCTGTAGCTATGCATTCATGTATGCCGCAAACGGCTAGGCACTGTGTGTTCTGGTTAGCATTAAGCTTTTCATCGATTTGAGCTCTTCTATGCGATTGGACCAGATGGACTTGCCTTCACTCCTCACATGCATCAATGAGCCTTGGTCTCCCATGATTCTAATGCCACTATACCGGTTGTTTTTTGGAAGGCACTAACCACTGCATACCAGAGAAGTCCCACAAGGCTTGCTGTTTTGGAGATGCTCTGTGCTTGATTTTTTAACAATTTTGAGCCTTTTGTGTAAAATCCAGACAATGTTAAATAGCAAGAACAATGTATGCATGAATACATTCATACATATCATGATAAGTAGCACATGTTTTTGTTTTACAAAGTTAGCAATATAATATTTGACACAAATATATCTTTGCTTGTATCATTTTTACTCATAGAAACATTTCAAAGAATTGCAAACAAATTAACCCCTTCTATCCTAGCTCTATGTATACACTGGCTATCTTTCATTTACATTGCAAAGGCAATAAAAAAAAAAAAAAAAAATTTAACCCCTTGCAGGCACACCACTTTAACCTTTGTTTCAGCAATGGGTTTCAAACCCACAGAAACACCATTCCCTGATAGAGCTCCTTTACGTTTCTCTACATATCTGAGAGCTACAGCAATATTTTTAGGTCACATTTCATGGCTGTATCATATTCACTGTATATATTATTTATTTTCAAGGAAAATGTTTTCAGAAATGGACTTGATATCAAACTTCCAACAGCTATAATAATAATACAGCTGTCATCAATCCCATCTTAAACTGTTTTCCAAACTCCACCCATGACGAAGGTGCACATGCAGTGCACCGAAACGCGCGTCGGGCAACTTTTTTATTCACAGGGCACATTATCACATTGGTGCATTAGGCCATGCACTTCTTAGCATGGAATAATTTTTATAGCACTTAACTTCATATTTATTTTTCTAACCTCTGACTGTTTAGCTAGATTAACAGGGAGAGAAGCTTTATCTTAACTCTATGCTGCTTTATCTTTCAGCTAGTCTTTAAAGTGCTGTTTAGAGACATTACTACACCAAGATTGAACTACTTGGTACATTCCCAAAGGCATTTGTCTACCAGCCAAGCCTCACATTATGTCCACAAAACTGGAGTGAACACTCTCTATAAGGAATTGATTATCTTCTTTACCTTGCTAATGAATTAATCCTTAAAATGTCCCTTTGTTTGGCCATTCTAAATAAAGCCTTTACTATAGGGATTATTTTGAGTTAACTTTTAGTCAGAGAAAAGCAAGTTTGCTTCAGTATTCACCCTGACTCATTTATTTATTCTTGGTTCCTAGATAGATTTGCCAATTGTGTTAAAGCTTTCTGTTATCATCCAGACTATATCCACATGTTTAAACAGTTACTTTGTTCTGTTTTTTAGAGTGGACATTCTATTTCCTTTTTTTTTGTTTTCCAAACTCTGCTTTAGCTGGATATTTATTCTTACTGGCAATGAATCTCACTATTACACTAGATTCCCCTTTTCCAAGCCTGTGCTAGTATTCAGTCTATGCATTTTCCATATTCTTTCCTACCAGATCAATCATTTTCTTCCTCACTGTGGTGTTGATTTAATAAGCTCTCCAAATGATTCAAAACTGTTAGATAAACTTTCCAAGTGATTTATCTACAAAAGTCACCATTCAAGTCTACGGGAATTTTTGTAGATAAATAATTTGTAAAGTTTTTCAGCAGTATTGACTTATTGAGAAAGCTTATTAAATTGATGCCTATACTCCCAATCAGTCCCGTATGCCCTATCTCCCATTGTACAGCGCTATGGAATTTGCTGGCGCTATAGAAATGAAAAAATAATAATCTGACAGCCAAGATGGCCAGACGTGTTCTGCACTAGCACCTGCACAACTGAGCAACAAATAAGCTTTTTCAGCTGAATACCACGCTGGATTCAGCCTTAATCGATTGGTACGCGGTCTGGCAGTAAGTGGACAACCGTGGATAATCATGAAGACCCGGGATAGCGAATACACGCAGCGCCTGGCACTGAGGCCTAGCGTGAATTGCAGCCAAGTGCCTGGGAGAGAAGGCCGATATTCCGGTCCGCACTGGGGACACCTAACTATCCACTACAAGGGAACCCCCCCCCCCGTTAACCAGCCGACATCATGGCGTTCTCAAAATGGCCACCGTGGCACAACACAAACAACAAAGAGAGCAAAACTCACCCAGTCCTGGAGGGACAGTTTTGAAGCTAAACTATTAAGCAGACCTCCAGCCTCTACTCCGCATGGAGAATCTGTCACTCGAGCCGGTGAGCCGAGATTCCGACTAAGCGCTGGAACGGCGAGTTGCGACGGAAACACCACATCTAACTGCCCAAGTTCCCAATGAGCTACATGGAGTGTTGCCTGATACCGGGCTCGAACTCCAGCCAAGATCCGATGGAGCTTCCGCTACCCTACTGCCATCCACCCTCACAAGACCCGGACTCCGCAGGGAAAAGATCCTAAGGGCAGGGGCCTACATGAAGGCCGCACACCGGACGGCAAGCTGCCTCCCACGCACAGCAAGAAGGCAGGCCACTGCATTACACACATACCAAAACCAGAATGTAATGTGTGGCATATGGGAATGAACTTTCCATCTTGGCCCATCCGAGGAATTGGGTGAACAGAACTGTTTGCTAACTCATGTTTGCTGTTTGATTCGCATATGTTTCTTTTTTTACTCACTCTGTGTTCCCTTAGTATATAACTCAAGACCTAGTAATACCAATTTAAGCACCACCAGTTACATCTTGCTAACACAACTGTTTAATCTTGTTTTCAGTAACCACATAGTCAGCCAGTCATTATGCTTAACTATTTCACTAATCTGTCTAGCATGTAATATCACCATTTCCTCTAGTTTACATTACTCACATAGACAGGCAGCATAGCTAGATCTGTACATTATGCCGTTTTGTCTCTCCGCTGATTATGCTAAAGCATATTTCTAATGACAAGCTATAGATTTGCACATACTGGTTAGGTCTCACATCAACAGTTAGTACATGCTATACCAATTACCTATGCTATTCTCCTCTTGCAACTATCTCCTTAATTTAAAAAAAATTGTGCTGATAATGCTAATGTCATGTTAAACACTGTAGGACACAGTGATGCTTGCTCTAGCTATTGTGGCATGGCAAGAGTTTGTGTATTGTCTTTTCTGCACAACAACAAAAAAAAAATAAAAAAAATAATAATGATAATTAGTAGAGATTATCCTAATCCCACTATTTCATATACTCCTTTTCTATACTGGCTATCCCACTCACACCATAGTTATTCACTTAAGTAAAAATGAGGAATTCAAAGTGAATTCAAAATGAATTCCAAATTCAAGGCCAAAATAGCAGAAATGAAAGCATAGCTACATTTTTACAATTTGGCAATTTTGGCCACAATATTTAATTCACATTAAGTTCACTTTACATTCCTAACAATTCACACTTCAGTAAATAATCCTGACAGTCCCTCCTCCCTCCCCATGGCTGGATTATTTTTTCTGTCTGCTGTCAGCATTTGCAAAGGTAATATGCACTGATATCCGCTCTGTCCATGAGTTACCAGATGATAATGTAAATATTTTCCTTAACATGACACATTTAATGGGACTCCTTAAAAGCCTGTGAGTTTGGGAATTAGCATCTTTGTCATAGATTCAGCATAATTGAAATAAGATTACATATTAGGCACTACAACAGTTGGGATTTATCTTGTAGGGGACAGAAATATTAAATATGTTCAGTTTTTAGGCTTGTATTCAGGCTCGGACTGGTCATCAAGCAAACCAGGCATTTGCTCGGTGGGATGCAATGGCCACGGGCTGAGGCCTGAATACAAGGCTGACAGGGGAGTGTAGTCCCTAGGGTGTAGGTCAGATACTTCATCCACCAGACCACCAGGACAAATTATACTTTAAACTGTACAGATTTTTAAAATTATTTATTAGAAATTTTATTTTATTTTGCCCTGTGTCCCCTCTCACACCCAACAGCCCCATGTTCCCTCTTTCTTACTGCAGCCACATGTCTTCTCTTACACGCAGCAGCAGCAGCAAGACCCCTGTCACATCCTGAAGCTTCATGTCACATCTCACACCCTGCAGACCCATGTCCTTCCTCACACTCTGCACACAACATCCCCTACAGCCCTCCCATGCATACACATTTTCCCTATGGCCCCCACACAATTTGTGGGAGGCCTTGAGGGTCATTAAACAGATATGCCAACTTTGGGTAGCTAAGCATGTAATTGGTGATGATACAACATTCCCCCTCTCTGGCCACACCCTCCTAGGGCTGAGCTTCCTTTAAATGCCAGGGCTGAATTTTTGTCCAAGTCCGGTCCTGCTTAGTTTTGCTCAGTTCTGAAACACAATTTTGAATGTATTAATATACTAATATAAATTAAGATAGACCATTTTAACATGAAACTGATCACTGACACAAACAAAATGAAGTAATTACATATGTTGTCTTATAACTATGATTTCCTCTAAAGTACCATTTTATTTTTTGATAAACTTGTTTGAGTCCTTCTGAGTGAGGAAAAATGCAGAGCTGTAAGTGCCTCTTGTAAGTGCTATGCATTTATTTTGTATTAAGCATTGTATTAGAAATAATAACTACAAAAACACATACAACAGTAATACAAAGCAAGCTGTGGCAGACTGCTCTGGAGTGTGAGAAAAAGACATCTTCCCATAGTCTTCTCAAAAAGTCATCTCACAAACATCAATAGATTTTACTTGTTAAATTAGTCTTTCAGATGTGAAGTACAGAAAGAGCCTTATACAAGATAAAAAAATCTTAAAAATCCATATAGACCAATAACCATAGAAAAGTCAAAATAAAGGAAACTATGCAGTGAAAACCACAATGTTCCTTTCAGTCGAGACTCACAAAGTAGAAACAGAGAATTAGGGAAAGTAGAAGACCACATCCACTGCCCTTCCTGAAATATTTTACAGATTTATACATATAATCCTTTATTATAATGTGATTGTACCTCTGTTGCCTTGGTTTATCCTGTGGTATCTGGTGATGCAATATAGTAAGACTTGAATTAAAGGGACACTCCGGGCTCCAATACCACTTTAATGCATTTGATAGATTTTGGCCTCATTAATGCATTTTTTGCATTCTCAATTTTTTTAAATAGTTTTGCAGACTTCAGCACGAAAAGCCTGCCTCTTCATCCACACACTAATGCCAGAAAGACATCCTTATCAATGTACGCACACAGTCTCAACCACAAAAGCACTCAGTGAACAGCTTTTAACTCACAACCTGGTTGCAGACAGTTAGAGAAACTAGAAACAGGTAGTGATATCCTTACTCTGTGTCTCCCTGTGTGTCCTCTCCTTTTAATACCCTATGGAATTTGTGCTGTAGAATTTCCTGGCACTATATAAATAACAAAATAATAAAAATAATGCCGGCTGTTTTGTAGTTTATACCATTTAGTATTGTCAGTGACTGAGCTGTGTACATACCTTTGATATGGAAGTCTTTTTCTGAAATGTGCAGATGTGGCTAAAGAGTCAGGCTTATAGAGAAGCATTTTGCAAAATATTTGATTAATTTATGCAAAAACTATAAATAAAATTGCGCATACAAAAAATACAGCATATTAATAAGGCCAACACTTATTGGTGCCCGGAATGTCCCTTAAATTTTTAAACAAATTATTGATTTATAAAGCATTACTTCTGCCAATCTTATATAATTAAACAATACCTATCATTATCATCCCTTTCATCCATAGCAGACTCTAAATAGTTACCCGCTTTCCAAATGTAGGAATCCATTGAGCAGTAGCCACAAACGATATAACCCTGCCTGCTAGGATTGGAATATTTTAAATTCCATGAAAACCTCTTGTTTTATCATTACAGTAATCTGCAACACAGCAAGGGGGAGGAAAATTGACTTTTTGGACAGGTATATAACTAGGAATCACAGGGACTCAATGCAAGAATAAGAGAAGTGCCCCCTTATGGTTTTTCTGATGTATATACCCCGGCATACACTTGATGGTACACACAATCACTAACAGACATGTAGTCATTTGCATGAACACTGTTTAACCAACACGCTGACTGACAGACACATGCTCTCACTTATACACATACACTGACATACACTCACTGGCAGACACACAGTTATTGGCACACACACTGTTTAACCAACACACACTTTCACTGACATATACACTGGCATACACTCACTGACTCACACACTAGCTTACAGACACATTTTCAGATACATATGCATTGCAATACTTACACTCCCTGACAGACCCTTGACAGACATATAGACACTCAATGACAGACACAATCTGACATTCACACAGTTTCATTGATTTGACACACACTGACAGACACATACTTTTGCTGATTTGACACACACTGACAAACACGCTCCATGACAGATACGCACTCTCACTGATTTGACAAACCCTCATTTACAGATGCACACTGACAGACACACACTCTCACTAGTTTGACAGACAATGGCAGACACACACACTCACTGACAGACACTTACACAGAACATGGGGTTCTGTAGCAGATTAATTGATTTGTTCTTAAACGAATTGCTGATTTCACATGTCTATAAACATTTTTGTAAAGAACTCTAGATAAGAAATAGTAAGTAAGCTGATAAATAAAAGAAATAACAATTGATACTCTGTTGGTATTCACTGTAAATTTCGATGTAACCTACAGGTACAAACTCTGTCAGAGTTCACTGTCCCTCTATGTGTTTGTAACTGGCAACTCTTTTACATTTTAACTAGCTTATCTTAAAAATAAAATGAGAACAAAATAAAGTTAGGCTAATACCCAGCTTTTCACTACTCTCCAGAATGGAAAGGTTAAGAGTGCTCCAGATTTTCAAAATAATTGGCTAAGTAAATTCTACACAGGGCCACTACCATTCAAATGCATTTGTTCCACAATGCTTTTACCTTCTTCTTGGTTCTGAGACTTAAGGAACACTCTCTCATAGAGATGCATTGACTCAATGCTTTTCTTTGGGAGTCTTGATCTGCAAACTTTAGTCCCACAATCTTTGCAGGTCCGCAACCTAGATGACCTTCTAGTGGCAACCAGTAAAGCTGGTGTTAGGCAGCAATGTAAACACGGCCTTTTGCTCAGAAAAAAAAGTGTTTACAATGCAGAGATTGCAGGGACCATCTCTTTTTCCCCAGAACCATTACATGAAGCTGTGGTGGTTCTGGTGCTTAGAGGGTCCCACTA